AGACAATATAAAGACTGGAGTAATGAAGATTAGGAAAAGGTAATTCTTGCTAATGAAATTTACTTTTTCATTCAAGGTTATATCAAAACTGTTGTCTGAAGAAGTCTAGGTGAGGCTGTAAGGGCCAAGCATCTTCATCAGAATCTAAATACGCACCTCTAAAGATGTTTTTTTTTAAACTTGCAGTGGGCCCAGAAGCCTTGTCCCCACTGAGAAAATTATGAACTCTGATAAATATATTGGTGTATATTGATAACAACATATCAATTGCTAAATTGAATTCTTCTGGAACTGCAGAAATTCCAAAACAGAGATGAAATACTGCAATACAACCTTGCACTACGTCATGAAGGGCTAAGAAATTTATCCAAAAGATGGAAATAAACAAGTTTCAGTGGCCTAGGAATTTACCTGATTGAAACCCCTTGAAAACCTATGGGCTATAATAAAGTCCAGATTTAGAAAAAAAATCAACTATCAAAAGTATGCGTATTTTCTAGTGTGACTTCATAATGAATGAATTTGTCAGAATCTTATGAATTCAACGTGTAATCATATAAAACAAGTAACTGCCATAAATGGATGACACTGAATGTTAAAAGGTTTTTAAACAATGCAAAAAGTTGTAAGGTTTATTGTATACATCAAAAAAGTAATTATTTTACTTTGTCCTGGTTAATTTGTATACTACTGTATCAGAAGCTGAGCCCCAAGTCATTTACACTGACCCATAATTCTCTCCACAGCGGGATTTTTGAACTGAAAGCTGCGTTTCACAAAGTGGTTGCTTGAAACACTTTTTGATCCAAGTCAGTTCAATTCAATTAGCATCTATTAAGCACCTCCTAAGTGTATAAGACACTGGGAATATAAATGGGAACAGTCCCGCCCTCATGCAACTTACGTTCTACTGAGAGGGGAGGGAGAACATGTACTTGGACAAGTAAATACAATATAATATGTACACATAAAATATGTGTATACATATTGTTACATATGTATATATACTATATATAGGTATGTATATGTTTAAATGTAGAAATATATACACACATAAAGTAAATACAAAGTAATTTCTGAGGGGTGGGGAAAGCACTAACAACTGGGAGTAATCAGAAAAAGACAGTCCTATAGACTGAGAACCTAAGTTGAGCCTCGAAATGAGTATTTTAATTATGAATCACGTAGGTTCACAGTGAAAGAGTAGTACATAGTAGAAGAAATATGGGCCTAGATTCTAGTCTCACTCTCACCATTTAATAGTTATATGACCTTAACTTCTAAGCCTTCAGTTTACTTAACTGGGGGATGATTTACTTAAAATGGGGAATGATACTATCTACCTTACCTCCAGGGGTATTATAAGGGTCAAAAAGGAATGTGAAAACACTCTTGAAACGGTAAAGCTCTATTAAATGTTATAGATTCAAAATTTTCAGAAAAAAATTGTTAAAGAATACTGTCTTTTCTGAGCTGTTCTTGAAGCTCCCAAGCTTGTAAGAATTTTCAAAGGAATTATACACAAGTATCAGTTACTTGGGTTTATAATATTTTCCCCCTATGATGTATTGTTTAGTTGTATCTAATTCTTCGTGACCTCATTTTGGGGTTTTCTTGGCAAAGACACTGGAATATTTTCCATTTCCTTCTCTTGCTCATTTTACAGATAAGGAAACTGAGGCAAACAGGGTTAAGTGACTTGCCTAAAGTCATACAGCTATTAAGTATCTGAGGCCCCATTTGAATTCATGAAGATGAGTCTTCCCAACTCCAGGTTCTAGTCACTGAGACACATAGCTGTCCTGTGAAAATGTAGTGATGATAAAATTTTGGACATTAATTTCAGTTATTTAGAGCAAGCTCCAAATCTGATTAGCTAGAAGAACTTAAAAAACTAGGGAGATTCCTTTGTTAAACCACCATTTTCATTATTTTCTATGGGAAAAGTTGCTGCCAGAATTTGAGCTTCTATAAGTTAAGTCCAGCATTCTAAGTAAATAAAAGATTGATCTTGTAAGCAGTGTCATTTAAAACAAATACAGCTCAAAATTGCTTATTCTGTTATTCTCTTATGTTCTGAAACTACATTAAAAAAATTGTGAAGGTTGTGTCTCCAACTGGCTATATGACCTTGGGCAAATCACTTCTCCTTGCTAGAACTCAGTTTTTTCATCTGTAAAATAAGTGAGCTAGAGTAGATGACCTCTAAGGTCCTTTCCAGTTCTATAGTTCTGTTATGAATAATAGTTTGAAAGTTAACTCCTATTCACTTCATTTTACTTTGTATCAGCACCATATTATTGCACAGCCTGGATGTAAGTTATTATATATTGTTTGCCTGATCCCCTTTTTGTACCTTTTGTGATTTGTACTTTTCACAACAGGCATCATCCATCTACTTACAAAGATTTCCCTCGTCTCTGGTTGGTTTTCTGTTGCCAGTGACAGTGAAAGTACCTTTGTGAAGGGAATGCCTTTTGTGAAGACAAAAGCATGAGCGCTCACTGAACTGGGCTCTAGAAGCACCTCAGCCTATAAATGCCCAACATAATTATAGGGAGGGTCATAATATAACAGATAGTCTTGTGTATTTTTTTTAAGCCAAGCAGACACTTGGACAATCAGATACATCAGAACTCAGAAATGATTGAGATTCACATATAATCATTAGGAGAAAAATAATCCCCAACAGTAATCTCACACTTATATGCTCAAAGATTTGCAAAGTGCTTTATAAATCTTTTTTCATTTGATCCCATCAAACCTGGAATGTGGGTGATATTTTTGTTTTACAGATGAGGAAACAGGCTCAGAGAAATTAGGCCTTTCCACATTAAGTATCCAGAGACTACTAACTTCACAGAGTTGTTTTGAGGAAAATTCTTTGTGTCTAATCAATAGAATGGAAACCTCTGTTCCCTAAACACTCACATAAAGAATCCCCTGGGCAAGTGTTTTCTTTGGTAAGGCTAAAACCAATCTAACTCTATCCCATTTTTCCACTCCAATGTGGATGATTTCCTCAGTACCTCCACAAATCCTACTCATCATTACTGTGCCTTTGCTTTTTGTCATGCTCTTTTCCCAGTCCCCCCACTTGAACAAATCCTACCCAACCTTTTTCAAAGCCCAGTTTAAGTCTCTTTGCCTCCATGAAGCCCTATTCCAAAACTCCAACCTCCAAGGAACTCTCTCTAATTCCTTTCACACATATTATATGCCACGCCACTTAGCACATAATACACTGTCATTTATTGTCCTTTAATTGTATCCCAAATGGGTTGTAAATTCATATAGGCAGAAGTGGGTGCCAGCTCCAATGGGCTGGGGTGGGGATTTTGGAGAGAGGGGAGGAAGTAATGACCAATTGTTAAATTTTCTGTGTAAGCATTTATACCATGGCAATCCACAAAATCAGTCAGCAGACTTGACTTACTGTTTTGTTGATTGTCTAGACTTAAGAAAGTGATGGAGAATATACTAACAATGCAGACTAAACTTATAAGTATGTGTGGGCACATTCCACCCATACACTGAGGTCTTATACTTTGGTTCTCTCCAACATCTACCAGTGCTGTGAACACCATAATTGCTAAACATTGTTTCTTGATGACTTATTTCACATCAAGAATTATTATTAAAGGTTTATCTTCATTACCTCTTCTTCTTCCTCAAAATACACCCACCCACCTAGTTTTTCTGGCCTTATCTAACAATGGAAGGATGTAATGGTAATCTGAGACCAAAAATTGGCATTTTATTGGAGATAATACGGTGCACCTTTTGTGCTAAGATCCCTGGGGATCTTTGTGAGAACGGTTTGTTTCAACAGAGCATTTCATAAAACAACAGTTGGTAGCAAGTTCCCCTCACTAACAATTTATTGGCGGCTGCTGGGCTTCACAGCGTGTACACGGATTAGTGGAAAAGTGACCGCCAACACCTCTCCAAGCTCTTTGGCAGGATGGGAAAGCCCAGTTTCGGGGTCTTCTGTGCCGTGTCCTGTTTCAGAAAAAGCACACCCAGCACGGGTTTTCCAGTCGCACAGCAGTAGCTTCTGGAGACTGGGGAAAGAACAAGACGTACTTCTCAAGAAGAAACCCTACATAGCAAATACCTCTGAACCCCAAGCCAGGCTCCTCCTAGGCATCAGGATGCCCAGGGCTCCTCCTAGAGCCATTTAACCTTTTGGTGGAGAGGATGGAGTTTTCCGAGGCACTCAAACTCTTGGGAAGGCAGCAGCTCTAGTCCCAGCTTTGCTCCCCAGTGAGGCCAACGGCATCCACTTGTTCTGGGCCTCAAACTCCTCATCTGTAAAACGGATGTAATGATAGGCGAGAGCCAAGCCCGGGTGCTTGACAGTCGATGTCAGTGTATCTGAAAATTATCTGAAAAGTAGAGGGCGAAAGTCAAAAGTAAAGAGTCATCACGGTTCCTGCTGCCTGCCCAGGCTAGGCCGGAGGGCGCCGCGCCGGCCAGGGCGGAAGGTGCGCGGCGAAGCCCCCTCATGGCCTCCACGCAAACAGAAACAACCCCAGCTCCCCGAGGCCGACCCCTTCCAACTCTCGCGGCTCTCCCCCGGGCATCGCGAGATTCCCCTCCTAGTCCCCCCCCACCCGCGTCATCTTCTCCGGCGGCCGCGGTGGCGGCGTCGGCGGCAGCATCGGCAGCATCACACTTTCCGACGGTGTCCTTCCGCCGTGCCTTCCAACTCCACTTCCTCCTCAGCCCTCTCTCCGCCCGGTCCCTCCCGTGTAGCACCGTCGGTGCCATTCCGTCAGTCTTGCCTGGCTGCCTGTCGAGGAAGCGACCTCGCCGCCGAGAAGGCCCCCAGAGCCGGAGGGAGCGGCGCGGACTACTCTCTCCCTCCTTGGCGGAGGGATCTGCGGAGGCGGCGTCGGCGCAGCAGCAGCGGCGGCGGCGGAGGCGGTGGCGGCGGCGGCGGCAGTGGCGGCGGCGGCGGCGGCGGCGCCGGTGGTGGAGGAGGCAGCAGCAGCAGCGCATAAGGGGGCCGCCGCCGGGTGATGCGGTCCTTGCTGCGGTAGCGCCCAAGAGCCGAGTCCGGGGATCTGCCGGAGGGGTCTACCCCGCCCCCTCCCCTCCCCTACCCCTCGTTCCTCCCCCTCCCTGCCACTGGGGCCTCCCAGCCCGGGCACCGCACTTCCCTCCATCCCTCCTCCTCCCCAATCCCCTTCCTTGGACCCCTACCCCGTCGCCGCTGCCTGCTGCCGCCGGCCCCTCTCCTCCGGGCCGGTGCCTCTCCCCGCCTTCCCTGACACCCCCTCAACCCCTTTCCTCTTCCTCCTACGGCAAGAAATCTCCGCGGCCTAGCTCCCTCCACCTTCCCCGCCTCCCCTCCCCGTCCCTCTCCCCCATCCCCGTCCTCGCCCCGGGGTCCGCCGCCGCCCGTCTCACACAATGGCTCTGAAGAGAATCCACAAGGTAAGGGCCGGGCCCGAGGCCCAGGGGCCTAGTCGGGCCCAGCAGGCCCGGGCCCGCGGTGCTGCTGCTGCTTCTCTTCCCTTTCTCGCTGGGACCCCTGCCGCCCACCCACCCCGGACCACACACCCCGACCTCTTCCCGGGCTTGTCTGGTTGGCAGGGCGGGGGCTTCGTGGGGGGGGGAGGGCCCTGCCAAAGGTTTCTTTTTCCTCCCCCACTCCCAGTGATGGCGCCCGGGGAGGCCCGGGGTTCCCTGCCCGCTGCTAGGCCAGAGTCTGGCTCCGCTCAGCAAGCTTTTCGCGGAAGCCCACCTCCCCCTCGCCACTTGCCAGCTCTGGCTCTAAATCTCCAGGGTCCCACTCTCTTGGGTCATCCTCCCCGACCCCACCCCACCCCCACTCCCACCCCCCACAGCTGCGCCTCGGGGCTATTGTCCCGTAGGAGGTGGAGAGGAAGTGTGGGGTCGGAAAGTGGCCTCTTCATTTCCCCTCTCCCGCCTCCTCCAGTCCCCCTTTAGGTGGGCCAGACCTTCCCGTCTGAAGCCAGATCTAGGCCTGGTAATGAGTGAGAAACGAAAGAAAAGGCTTCCCCACCCTATTGGGAGAACTAAAAACCTGGTGGAAGGTCGAGACACATCCGCACACTCAGATTGTCGAGAAACTGTTATTGCAGGAAGTTAAGAAGGAAATAATGTGCTTTATCTGAGAGGGGGGGAGTAGAGGGAGCGCCGTTTTATTCCCTTTAGGTCGCCATGTGTACAGCCAGCAGCCTCCATTTCAGTTTGAAGTAGAACTCCTTCACGTACAATATCTTTAATTTTAAAAAGGAGAATCAGTCCTCCTAAGTCAGTAAAGGAATTTTGCAGAGTAACTTTTCAAAAATGATTATGCATTTCCATGGAACTTGGGCATTTTTGTTCAGTCTCTGTCATTACTCTTCCTCTTTCCTTTTTATGGTTGGGTTGAGTTTTGATGGGTCAGCTTACTTCGTGATAAATTCTATAGTTTAGGGGATAAACTTTGATGACAGTTTGAGAATAAGAAGTTTTTCCCATTGACATGAACCAAAAGTGAAGCATCAACCCATACTGTTTGTTGCTGCTACTATATTATGGCTTCTCTGTACCATTTTTAGTGGATTATTTTCTTAGAAATAATAAGGCATCCGTAGTTAACTTTGATTTTGTGCATCAGTTAAATACTTAGTGTTTTGGCAGTACAAGGCCTAGTGAAACATACGTGGTATTTAAAATGTAAACTACTTTGAACTGTACTTCATACAGCAGTGGGCACCAACGTGATTCTTGGTCAAAGAACTTCAGTAATTTGGGATTGCATCTAGTTTTTCTTCTGAAGTAGATTGTCTTCTGGTCTTCTTTTATTTCCACTGCAGTATGATTTTTAACTCTTAAAAGAAAATAAAGACTTCACAGGATCTGAATTGAAAGAGAATTTTGCGTACCTAACCCCGAATGAGAATCCTTTCTTTAACATACCTGGCCCTAATACTTGCTAGGCAGCCAGTAGTATTCTTAGATTTAAAGCTTTTTAAACTTAGTTTTGGAACTGGAAAGAACCTCAGATCATCTGGTCAGCTCCTTCATTTTCCACATAAAGAAACTGAGGTCATTAGAAGTTAAGCAGTTTGTCTAAAGTCACTTGAGTGAATAAATGGCTTGAACCCTGGCCTTTTAAACACCTTCATACTTGTTTTATTAAACTTTTATGTGGCTTCTTTAGTCCTCACCCCAATAATTGGTCTTGAGTTTCTTCAACTTTAATATATCTGAAATCTGACATTAGGATAGGCATCTGATTATATCTGAGAGCATGATGTAAACATTCTAATATGCCTTGCCTCATATTGATTAATAGAGTTGTGTGTTCATTGGTTCAATGGTGCCTCAGTTTATCTGACAGTGTGAAAGGAACTTTCGTGAAACATTCTCATGAGTGGCAACACTTCATTTGAATCATTTTGATGAAATTCATCTAAAAAAAACACCCTTCTTTGTCCTAACAGAATGTCCTCAATATAAGCTGTCTTTTCTTGATGATTCAGGGGCGTTATTATTGCACTGTGTTGTATATATAATGGTGCCCTGAAGAGTTATTGAGAAACTCTCTTTAAAAGTTCCAGATTATTATATTTGTAGTGGTTTTAAGTCTCTTTAGTTCATACACTTGGTGCCTACTATGTGCAAGGTACTATATATCCTTTTTAATCTTTGTATCACTTCCTATTGTTTGCTGTCATTATTCCTTCCTCCAGCATTACCACTCTTGCCTTCTCATGTGCTGTTTCAAAGCTTGAGAGACCTAAGAAACCAGATCACACTTCTTAGAATAGTATCATTGAATAGGCTCAGAGTGAAGTGCGTGAACCTTGGTACCTGAACTTTGTGACTTCTATCTTGGCTGCCTATAGACTCTTTGAAGGTGTGCTGGATAATAGGAAGTCAGATAATCACCAGACATATTAAGCACCTACAATGGGCCAGATACTATGTAGGGGATAGTAATACGAAGAATGAAACAGTTTCCTACTATCAAAGTGAAGAGTGAACTCTTATTAAAAATGTAGTTTTTGAAAGTTATCTTTTGAAAATTCAGTAATGCCAACTATATTTATTGCCTTATCTTGTGAAGAGTAGAAAGTTGACCTTACCAAAGTGGGAAGCACTGCTTTAGTGAGGTCCAAGAAAACCTAAAGTAAATCACCAAAACTAGATTTTTAAAATATTTTTGTACCTATTGTATAATTAAAGCTATACTAATTAGTATAGAGTATAATGCTTTTTAAAATTTAAGTAGAGAGATAGTTTAACAAACTAAGATGATTACTGAGAACCATTTCTAGTTTTGTAGTAAATATTTTTTGTTAGGAACTATGTAGTACCATGGAAAGAACACTGACTTTAGACACAGAAAGCTTGGGTTCTAATCCTGTTACTTTCACTATCTGTACCTTGAGTGAGTCAGTGTCTGGGCTTCCATTTCCTCATCTGTAAAATGGGGGAGAGAGGATGAAATTGAACTAGACAAGTTTCTAAGGCTCCCTTCAGCTATCTTTGAATGTCATTTAGCTGTTAAAACAATAGGTGACTTTTAAAAAATAGTGCCTCAGAAAAGATAATGTAGTAAGAAGAATAAGATTTGGGCTTCAGATTCAGTGGTGTTATGGATAATCTGCTCTTTTTTGAATTCAGAATGAAAATATAACCAGTGGATTTTGGGGGGGTTTTAAACGTTTGAACCATAATGTTTAACCTTTTAAAACTTGATGTTATAATAGTTTGGCCATTAGGCCAGATTAAAATTGTTTAATTGGCATAAGCTCTGGCGCTTCTTATGGTTTGCTGAAGTTGAGCTAAAAACATTGTAAGTGTATACTCTAACAGAAATCAGCAAAGTTTTTATGAGTTGGAGGCTACAATGACCTGATCTGGTTCTGGCAAAGGATGTGGAAAAGTTGTGACTTAGATACATCAGTGGACCCATATCTTCATCACTTTGGGTACTCTGAATCTCTACCTGTATGCTTCATAGTCCATACACTGAAAAGTCTTCTCTGACTCTTAATATTTTGTAGAGACCATTGCTTGGAGCAGGCTACTTCCTTTCCCATTTGTCCTTGTCCTTCATACATCTGCACATACTTGGTATATACAAGTCATTGTTGGTAATATACTTTAATCTGCATAACCCCACCACCACCATTAGGCAGCTGGTGGCAAAGTGGATAGAAATGAACCTGGAGTCAAGAAGAACTGAGTTCAAATTTAGCCTCAGGCCCTCACTAGCTGTGTGATACTGGACAGGTCTCTTAACCTTTGTTTGCCTCAGTTTCAGATATAACATGGGAATAATAGGGTTGTTGTGAGAATCAAATGAGGTTAAAGTTTGTAAAAAGTGTTTAGCTCAGTGCCTGGCACATAGTAGGCACTTTATAAATGTTTATTGTTTCCACCATCTGTCTTGTCCTGCGGTTTTTGGTTCTTGGGAGATCCTGGTGCTCCCAATGTGTTTTACAGTCATTGTAGCATCACCAAGAGAACACTGGTGTTAAAAGATTACTTTTTTTAAAAAATGTGTAAGAAATATACTGTTTAAAATTAGTTAATGGTGCTGTGCAGAGCTGTTAGTGCTTAATAAATAAATGCTTGGTGGACGAATATTGTTCTGTCCTGGAAGTCCTGTCAAAATTTTTCACATTACAGAAGAGATGTGGTCTTTATGTAAGAATTCAATTAATAATTATTTTTTAAAATAGCAGTTTCCTAACACATTTATGATAAGACTTATTTTTTGTGTGTATTTTTTTCCTTCAGGAACTCAGCTATTATTTAAATCCACATCCATCTGATATTTTATTTGGAGTGCCTCATTCTCTGTAAATGCTATTGACTGGGGGTGAGGTGGTAATTACTTGAAAACTAGCAGCAAACCAGCTTATATTGGCAATGGACAGTTCAAAGAAGAAATGCTTCTAATATTTTTGGTCAGGTGTTTAAATTATATCTTTAGTGTAGTGTATGGGTAGTTTTCAAGATAATGTACCCCAATGAACTCTCTTGTTGTCAAGGATCTCTGCGCTAGTGGAGTAGGAAGGACCCTTCTGGCATTGCAGTAGGAGGGATGTAGTCTCAGTTGAACAAGTTGAGTTTAGGACAGATTTTTCTCTGTAAGAAATGGGTAAGATTCCCAGACCAACTTGTAAAAAGCCCATTTAACATACAACATATCTCAGTAGTACTTTTTGTCCATCAGCCTTTAGTTTGTGACTGGCCCAGAAAAGTCAGTTCTTGTAGTTTTTTGATAGATGTGGTGACTGAAGAATAGTGGCAGTTATATAACATAACTGGTTATCACTGATTATTACCAAGTGTTGTGACAATTACTTTAGTTGAACCATGAAGTTGGTAGAATCTTAGAAACTGAGATCTCAACATTCATGTACTTTTTTTCCAGAGCAACTGATTAGAAATAAGTATTAAACTCT